GAAACATACAATTGTCTTTCTTTTTTTCTTCAATTCTGTTTAGACTTTTATTTAATATTTCTGTATACACAACCTAGGCTTTTATTTGCCTTGCCACTTGCAACAGGACATTGCTTGGATTGTGTAAAAGACTCATAAACTAGAACACTATTGAGGTTATTCCAATGATAATTATACTTATGATTCAAATTATGATAACCCACATGTTTGCCTTTATTAAAATATAAAGACATCTGCCATTTATTCTCCCAACTCACCAAATTATCTGTAAGGGAACAATTTTTTCAGACACTCATTGAGGATGGTAAGTTCTGAATATGGTTCAGTATGTTTCAAAATCATCAACCTGTTGTAGCATTGACCAAATTCTCAGGCATTCTTTCTTATCATTATCTTAGCAGAATTTCAGGTACAATAGAAATAAAAAATTGTTTTCAGTAGTCTAAATTGTTTATTTAGAAATATGTTCCTGGAAGTGTCTGAAAGTAGAAAGGATGTGGTCTAGTAGTTAGTGCTGTGGGCTGTATTGGATTGTCCATGGTTTGACCATGATAAGCTGATAACTTTGCTGTACACACTCAACTGTAGAGGCTTTATATAACTAACAGTCAATCTCACTTTCCTGTTAAGAGTAACCTTGTAGGCGGTTGGTATTATTGACTGGTTGCCTTCATTTTGGCTTGCTATTTAGCCTATGTGATGCCATAAGGTGCCACTCTGGTTAAAAATACCAAATCCAGAAGGCAAAAGTTATGGGAGGTAGAAACACTGTTTTTACCATGGATACAACTTGTTTCGGAGTTTACTCATCATAATTATATATATTTCTTAATTTCTTAATTTTATTTGGTAAATACCTCTTTCATAAGATACTATTTACAATAAATCCTTAGTCTTCAACCTTATCAAATTAACATGAATATCAGTGCTCACCAACACAGTAATTGAGGACTTGCCTTTCATGAGTAGTATCTGACCAGCTGTTGTAACATCAGAGGCAAACTGGTTGCATTAAATTTGATTAAATCCATCTTGAAAAGTGACCACCAGCTTGCCCACACCTTTGAACATTCTGAGAGTCATAATTTTCATGCATAAGTTAGAAATTCACAAATTAAAATCATCCCAGGAATGTGGAAAAAAATCTGCAGTTTACATGATGTTTATCACAAATTTTAGGCCTGTTGGTTCCTGGTGCTTTGCTGGCTTTCAGTATTTAAACTGTAACTTTTAAAGTATTATACTGCATATATAAATAGTATTTCAGAGACATTTTTTTATCTCATCATCTACTCCAACTAATGAGTGCTGGTACTGAATGAAAAGCCTCTTGAGTAGTAACTTCTGGGAATAAGATACATCTGAAATGCTGTTTTTATGCCTCTGGCTTTCAATCCAAAATGGACAAATTAAAAGGAATTTAGAAAAATAGAATCTACAGTTGATATAATTTTGTCACAAATTTTAAACCTATTGGTTTCTGGTACATGCTTTGATGGCTTTCATTATTTAAACTGTACCTGAGAAGTATAGCAGTTGTAACTACTCTGTTAATATAATGTCTAAAGTTGATCTGTAACCAGCACAAATGTTAGATTTCATATGATGCCTCTGTTCGTAAGTGTTATGTTTCTGACACTCTTTGTCTATTGAACTTTCTGGGGTTCTTTTTACTTTAGTCTCTCCCAAAATCTCAAATAAGATAATTTTTCTTGCTTTATTTCTTTGCATTAAAAATATGGTGGGGGAAGTATATGTAAGCAAAAGTAGGTAGGATGTGACCTAGTAGTTAGAGGATAAAATTAAATATACTTGTTTATTATAAACTGCCATTTTTATGCATAGTTTATATTTAGATAGCTTCCTTTCAAGTGATACTTTGTAATATGTTTACTGTTAATTGCTTAAAATATGGTAATTGTCAAAAGCATTTGTTAATGCTAATGCCTGAAACAGTTAAAAAGGACTAATGATTTGTAATAAGCCTCTGAAGGACTTGCCCAATAGCATTAGTTGATAGGCTTGCCAACTTTTGAAGCACTATTCTGGAAGATAAATTCCATGCCCATCTATCACATTTTATCTTTCACAAATTACCAATGATGTTTTATACCATAATTTTTATAACCAATAAAAAGCCAGAGTTTTTATCTAACAAATGACATATGTTATTTTTGGTGTAGAGAATTGTCTATTTCACCTCCACTTTGCAAAGTTTTCTCATAAGAGTCAACAAGCTTAGCTGAAATTTTAAAGACTTTTGTCACATAGTTAGAAAGCCAGAATAATTATGATAGTTATAGAACATTGTTTGCTTTGTGCATGTTATTATTCTGGGTTCTTAGATGCATTATTTGATTAAATAAAAAATTATTTAGTGTAGTAGACTGTAACATTAGTATATAAAAAAGTAGGTTTAAGTTTAATCGACAGTCAACTGCAAAAAAAAAAGAATACCCAGGTAAGTACTATATTTCTTGTTTTTCATGTGTATTCTTTTTATAAAAGTAACTCAAAAGCAAAAATTAGAAACTTATTAGGTTATGTTAGGTGAGAAATTTTCATGAAGTATGCTTGTGAGCAGCTCGTATGTTATATAATTTAATACGGTCAAGTGAGCTGCAAGTTCACTTGGTGACACTAAAGTATTTTTTTTTATTTGCATGTAGCAAAAATTTGAAAAACTTTATGTTTTTAATAATTTCTTTTTCAGAATCTGGGAGATTTGTCGAGCATATCTGAGAGTCTGGAGAATATATGCAATTCTGGGAGTCTCCCAGTTAATACGGGAGGGTTGTCAAGCCTATTAGTTGATGTTATTTATAATATAGTTATTCTAGTATGCAACAGAAATCAACAATCAAATTCAAAAATGAAGCTCTTAAAACATAAATATGTTTTTGTGTTTTCAAGTTTGCTCAAGAAAGGTATCATTAATTGGTTCAAAGTACTGGTCATTCCTTTACTGAAATTTTGTATTATTAGTTTTCATAAGGTTAGAATCACATGTACTAGGCCTAAGTGGATGTCATTAGTTTACCAAAAATAGGGAAACAAGTTTACTCAAAATTGGAATCACCTGTTCATCTGCTTTATCAAAATAGGAGTCATCGACTCACACAACATGTCCTCAGTTTTATTAAGGTAGGGATCACTTGTTTACTTCTAAAGTAGTATCACTTATTTGTTTGATGTAGGAGTCATCAGTTTACTTTAAGTAGTTGTCACTTGTTTGCTTAATGTAGGTGTCATGAATACTTAACAAAGAGGCCACGCGTACTTTAAACAGATGTATGTACATATCTGGAAATGTTACATATTATTTTTAAGATGATATTTTAACAGGTGTCAAAAATGCTAGTTTGCATTCTGTTATACAGTGTACTTAGACTCAAGTAATCTTTTCCAAGCTATATTTCAACAGGTATAAAAAATATATGTAGAGATTTCTTGATGATAGTTTAGGGATGTTCATATTTTGTGGGTGAATATCTGCATTTTCACATGACCAATGGTGATTGAAAAAAGTTTTAATGCAATAAGATTACTTGACATTACTAAAAAAACAGAAATAGAGATGTATCAGAAAACACTGATACGTGTAGTGTTAAGGCGTACTGTGTGTGAAAGATTAAAGTTTCTAAACCTTATTTTAATGCTTTTCTCTGTGTCACTGTGACTACCCACTCCATTAGTGATGTGGTGACATTATTTTGTTCTATTTATAAACCCTTTTCCTTTATCACAAAATGGTTTCTCTCAATGAGACTGGATTAAAAAAGTCATTGTGATAACATGTTTGTTTTATCACTTATAAATCAATCTGCCTTTTTCTGAACTAGCCAGTATGTACTTAAAATAGTTCAGTGGAGTGAGCCAGCTGGCATCTTGCCATTTTTCTAGCTCAAGCTTACTGTCAAAAGTCACTTGTTGTGTCTGCACAATTTGTTATCAAGTGCCTTAAGCTAATTCTGCTGTAATATCAATATATATATTACTTATATTCTAAGTGGAAATGTAATCAGCATAAAATATGTTTAATAAATCCAATATAGTTGGGGGAAGGGAGCACAACATGATTAACAATGCAAGGATAAGCTGAAGACCACTTGGTTTCACCTGTCATTATGAAGTTTAAATACAGGACTTTCGATTAATTTATAAAACTGAAAATGAGCAAACTTTCTTTTTGGAGGATTTACTTGAAAGTGTAGTAAAAGTGAATTTGAAACAATATGCATCAATAAAAAAATTAATTACATGAAATTTCTATACATAAAAGAAGAATGTCAGAAGAGTTAAAGATTTGCAAAATAAAATGAGTGTATTTACAGTACCACATTGCTCATGGAATAAAAAGTAAAGGGCAAAAAAGAAATATAAAAATATATATTAACAAACATTACAATAAGCATTTAAATGAAAAAACTCAAACATATTTTAGAATTGAAATCCAATGTTTAGATTTCTTAAAAAGTATTACATGTGGAAATTTCATAATTCTTATTTTGCTATGAATATAACATTGGAGATATTTTTAGTATTTTCTTTTTTTCGAATTTATCATCTAATATTCTAATGTGCCTGGTCATCGTTGCCAGTTTTATTTTTTACTTTAACTGGACTGAAAAAAAAGTATTTTAGTAGAGCATTTCCCAGAGTTGTATTTTCCCCAAATTATTTAAAAATATGGTAGTTTTTTATGACTGATTTTGCTTTCATGCGCAGTTGAACACAAGTATTGCCCACATCTGAAGACACATTGAATATTACAAAGTTGTAAGTGTCTTATGGTAACCAGACACTATTCAATACCTGTGTGAAAATTTCATGTTGTTTTGCAAGCAGCCTATTTAAAGCTTCTATACTTAGAAATAGCAACAGTATTATTAACATGTATTAGCTGATATAAAGAAATTATAAATAAAAAAACCTATAGAGCTAATGGTTAATCATGATGACTGAAAATCCTTACCAAGTTTCTCATTCAACATGTACAGGTTGAAGAAATCCGTGAAAGCATTGAGAAAATCCAGGCTAATGTTGAAGAGGTCAAGAAAAAACACAGTGCCATTCTCTCTGCTCCACAGACAGATGGAAGTAGGTGAAAGTTTGTACACATTTAGCACAAGTTGGTTGTTTTCCTTTACAAGTGATACATTATTGAACATGCAGTGAATTTATTTGTAAAATGAAAACAAACAATCAGCACAACTGTCTCAGTAATACAATACGAGATCATTTATAAACTTAAGTTTAACCACCTTTTATTTTCCCTTTTTGTTTCAGTTGAACTGATTGTCTTTTGACTGGTTGACATGCATTTGCTATTTTTCAGAGAACTATTGTGAGATGTGATTTTAAATTTCTGTTTTTTAATCAGATATGGTCCTGTACAGTTTAATTCTATTATTCTCACTGAGACACAAAAGAAAAATAACTTATGTTGAGTTTTTAGTATTAAACATAAAAAATATATAAATACTTGTCATTAGTGTGATATTGAGATGTCTGTGTGTTTGGAAATAGAACTATTTACCATAACATTATTCAGGTTTCTGGACTTGAGAAGGATTCTGAATAGTACATTAACCTTAGAAATGAGAATTGTGAAAAAAAAAACATTTTGAATTTATCAAAAGTGTTTTTTCAAGAATTTAAAATACAATTCTGTTGTGCATTCATAAATGATTTGAGAAATCTGAGATCTACATGCATTCAGTAACATGATAACAGTGGTTTGAAGAAATCCAGATTTTTCTAATTAATGTTTATTTTTTCTAGTTTGAAGATCAATTCTCTTTTCTTATTTTAAGCTTAAAGTAAGATATTAAAATTTTTAATAAACAAAATTTGCTAATGTACAAACTACAAGTCATTTTATGATAATCTTTATAAACCAATAACCTATTTTTGTAAAGTTTTGTTATGGTAACTTTCAGGGGTCAAGCAAGAATTGGAAGATTTAATGGCAGACATAAAAAAGGCTGCCAACAAAGTTCGCACTAAATTAAAAGGTAGAAAAAATCAATTACTCTTTTCATATCAGAAACATTATTTGTTTTATTTTGTTTTTAAAATAGCTGAAAATATACTTTTAAGGTCATTTCAAATTAAATAATTGGTTCTCAAGGAAAAAGATTTTAAAACTACAAATTTAATCAGACTTTTTTATTATTTGCCATATTAGTAGACAACTTTTTACCAAGGTAAACCAAGAATGCAGTATTCGTTTATAGGTTATTCATCAAGGATAAACATTTGTCATTTAACTTAAGTTTTAATCACACACCCATTGGTATTTATAACAATTATCTCATCACTAGTTGGAGAAGGAAAGGAACATCATTGTATTTGCAGGGCTCAAAACAAGCAATGTGTATTTGAGAACCATCTAATTAAATGAATGTAACTTAATGATTTTCTAACTTTCATGATCTACTTTGTTAGTTAATTTTGTTAAATATTTAATTTTTAGAATAATTCTGTAGTTAATAAGGTTTTAAGTTCAGGTCTTAGATATTTGTTTTGGGAAGGTTTTGTCCTTGTTTACTAAAAATGGTTGGTTTCCAAGATAATGTTCTGGGGATACAAAAAGTTTGTGAAACTATACATAAGCTTTCATAGACTTTACAGTTTCTGTGTTGAACATTAATTAATCTATTCAATTACACAAATAAATTAATTTAGCAATAATAAATAAATTGAACAAATAAAGGATTTCTTTGAACTTCCCTCACTTTAAATTGGCTATATATATATTTCTTTTGATCTTTTGGTTCTTTTGTTGGAACTTTTTTAATTGTCCAAAAGCTGTATACTCTTATAGTTTAGTAGTGTTATGATGGACTAAATTTTGGCTCATTTTAATCCTTTCTCTCACAAGTGTTTGAGCAATTAAAATTATCAGGTGACTACCAATGTCAGGTTTTGTGTGTGTGAATTCTAATACAATAGGTATCTGTAAAATACATACAAATGCATCACCACGGTCATAAACCATGTCATGTCCGTAGCTTTTTTTCAACCTTCTGATACTTTTTGCTCTGCTCGTCCACTTTATATCTCTCGTTTCATCTTCAGTTTGCCACCACCTCTTCACTTTCAGCTCACACATGCCAATCTATACTCTTGACAACAGTGGGTCACAAATGCAAAATAATTAGAAAAATAAACGAAATAATATAACAATAATCATACAACACAACAAATCAATAATAGTCTTTTATATCATGACATAAATTCCTCTTCAGGAAACATATTTACAGTATTTTCTTTTCCATGATATACAAAGCTTCTTTGTTCACATAAAGTCTGCTCATACAGTCTGCTCCAACATTTGCAGTCCCTTTGATAGCTTCTTTGTAGAACCTGTAGTTCTGAAGGTACAATGCCCACCTCATGATCCTCGCACTGTCGATCTTGCACTTCTGAATGTATGTAAGTGGTTGATGGTCTGTCTGGATGATGAACTCCTTCTCATATAGGTAGTTCTGGAACTTTCGAATGGCAAATATGATGGACAGACATTCTTGTTCAATCACAGGTAATTCTTTTCACTATTTGACAGTTTTTTACTTATGCAAGTTACTGGAAACAGTCTCTCTTCATGTTTTTGTAAAAGTACTGCCCCAATTCCAATGTCTGAAGCATCAGCCTGGACAATGAAAGGTTTGTTGAAGTCTGGCATTCTAAGAATTGGTGAGCTTCCTAACATGTTCTTTAATTTCTGGAATGCCACCTGGTGTGGTTGTTCCCACTTCACCTTGTTGGGTAAGCCATTCTTGGTCAGGTCAGTCAATGGTGCAGTAATTTCAGCATAATTTGGGATGAATTTCCTTTAGTATCTTGCTAACCCCAGGAAGGATCTGACTTGCTGCTTAGTCGTTGGAGCTGGTGTATCTTGTATGTGGATTATCTTCTCTTTTTCCATGGCTATCTGTTGGTTCCCAACTTTATGTCCAACAAACTCTAGCATATCCGAGATAGC